TCTCTTTAGAACGTACATGAGCTCTTGCATGCCCCCTCTTACCCTTGTTCCCCCAAAACCTTTGGGTGTGAACTTGAGACCTGGTCCTCCCCCTCCCATCCAGTTTCTAGGAGGCATATGAGGTGTCCCTTTTGTCCATTAAGGGGTTAGCAGCCCCAATGATGGCTTGCGGTTTCCTACTCCCTCTGGAAGTATTACAAGCAGCAATTCTTTGAACCAAAGGGAGAAAATGAGGCAAGGCTGCTTCCCTGTGAAGAGGCTCTTGACCATGGAGTGTTTTTAATAGCAGTGAGGTCAAGCAAAGGAGATTCCTCAAGTTCCACGCATAGCCAAATTCCTTTCTCTGCCTGCAGGTCAGGCCAGAGAAGGAGTCTAACTCCCCCTGCCCAGAGGTGATTGTATGCACTGGAAAGAGACCAATTCCTCTGGGATACTGGCAGGGGAACACATGTCCTCTCCTCCCTGTCAGCTGCCCCATTTGCATTTTGGCTAACAGTCCCTTGCAGGTCTGGAGCTAACTGAGGGCAGCTGATTCCCCTCTTCTACTTTTAAAGTGATATCATTCATTCCCCCAAAGCAAAGAACTGGAATATCTAACAATACACCTACAGCCTTCCTGGGGCTGCTCTCCTTACAGCACAGATTTCTATTCAAAGGCTTTTACACCAGGAACTTTAACCCAGATTTCACACCCAGGGAGCATTTGATAGGGTTTAAATGACATGGGGCCTCTAGTCTTAGCAGCCCCAGTATCTCTCCATCAAGAGAATGTCTCCCTATTAACTACCACCTTCCTCTCCCACTGGCAGAAGGGTGAAGCATGACTTGCGGGCAGTGGTTTGGGGTGTGAGTGGCTCACATGAACACTGTGTGCCATCAATGGACTGACTGTGTGACTCCCTCCCTCTGGTGATTCAGACACATGGTTAATTCTGTGAGGTTTGGGTGCAGCTAGCCTTTCCAGCACTGCACTGGGGCTTAGAGGGCGGAATAAGCAATCCCAGGCAAAGTGACCTCGCTGGCTACGTACTGAACTTTGTTTTTCCCCGGATGTCCCAGGGTTTTGCCAAGGTGACTTGACTCCCCTCAGGGTGGGTCTCTGCCTGGGCCTGATCCCTGTTCTCTGATCCCATTCTATCAAACCCAGGTTGACTATCCACATGAGGGTCTGCCAATTTCCGTTACAGTTACATCCCTAGGATCTTTGTCCATTAACCACAATTTTAGGTTTCAGTGGCAAAATTTATAGAATTGTTCTAAACACATTAATGTATAGGCCTCATTGACCATGGTAACCCCCCAACCAGCCCCATTTTCTTATGTTTGGGATTCCCACACTGTGGGCTGTAGCCCACCACAGTCCCAGGTGGCCTGCAATGGGCAGAGTTGAGGGTGATGGGGGGCATTGCACCCCCAAAACTGTATATGTTGGCAGAGTGGTGGCTGGTGATGCCCCCTTCCCCCCCCCCCAGAGGAGCCCAAAGGCCCTGGCAGGTGGCAGAGGGTGAAGCAGAGCCATCAGGTGGTGGGCAAGAAGGAGCCGGCGCCGAAAGGCAGCAGCTCCCAAGGCAGCTGGATGAGGCTAGAGGGTTCAAGGCTGTTCCTGCTCCAAGCCTTCGCACCCTACAATTCACAGCTGTCAGGCCCCCTGGAGTATCAGTCCCACTCCCCTACCCCCAGAGATTGGGGTTCGGTGGGGGGTGATTGGGACCATCAAGGTTAACGCACAGGCCCAGCCCGAGCAACTGCCTCTGCCCAGCATTGGCAGTCCCAAAGCCCTTCCCTTGGTCCCAGGCAAAGGGTGCCTGTGAGGCACACCAAGGTGCTGGGTGAGTGAATGGGGCAGGGCTGCCAGGTGACCAGCTCAAGGCACTCAGCATGCTGCTGAAGCAGAGGGTGTCAGCAGGAGCTGGCTGTGACACATGCCTGGCCCCTTCACCCTCTTGCTGGCTCTGGTCCCCACAGACGTGATGGGTCACGCACTCCTTGTGGGACCCTTCTCCCTGATGGACGTGTGTTAATAGTGGGGCATAGTGCCTATTGCAGCTGCACAGGAAGGCCTTGGAACCCCTCTTACATACCATCTCACTTGAAGTGAAGCCACAGTATAGGGTCTTATCCCCTTTTTTCTGAACTCTCTGCTTCTCCTATATAAGTCAGGGGTCAGTTGTAAACAAGCTTTGCTGAAAAAGTTTAATCACCCTTAATCTTTATAGTCCTCTTTGTCTATAAAGGTGAAAACGTCCCAGACAGTAGTAGAGCTAGGTACCATACCATGTCACCCTGCCCCTCTTAGCTCAATTCACACCCCAATTCAAAAGCATTTAGAAACACATCCATGTCAAGGAAATAATTTCGATTCTCTGCCACCCAGTGGGACAGGTATATTGCATCTGGCTTCACCTGCCAGATTAGGGTTTTACTGACAGTCTCTCTCCAGTGGGAGTTGCAGATGCTCCTCATCTCTCAGGATCAGGCCCAGAATGCATACAATCACAAGCAGAACAAGGCCCAGATCCTCTGCCACTGTAAATCAGCATGATTGCATTGACAGCTATTTTACACAAGCCAAGGATCTTCATATAAAGATTTCCAGCACAGACACACACAAGAAAGAAGTGAGGAGCAGCAGCAGCACTTCCAAAATACATTCCCCTAACCCCAGAGCATCTCAGCCCCAGCCCGGTAATCCACCAACAGCAGGAGACAATGAAGCTAAAAAATAATCTCTTTTCAATGTATGTGCCCTTCCACACTGCATGAGTTTTTACTGGAAATCCATGCACAATTACAGTTGGTGGAAGCAGCAGTAGCTGCCCCTGAGCTTCCGGAGGAGGTAAGTACAGCGCAGGCTGCAGGATACAGAGCCAGTGGAAAGAGATTCCCCAAGGAACTGCATTTTTAGTGGGAAAGGAGCTATAGGAATGTTGTGATGGGGCCAGGAGACATATTCATTTTCCCTTCCTTCCCTCCCCAAGCAGGGGGACTGGAACAATTTGTATAGTGAGGGTGCTGAGAGCCATTGAACGAAACTGTAAATCACTTCAATACTGGGAGTGCGGGAGCACCCATGTCAGGAATATGAAAGAATGGAACCTGGATTCCCTGCAAACTCTTAAAACTGAGTGGTTCCTAGTCATGATCCTTTTACTCTAGCAGGAGTACCACACATATACAAGGGAAGCGTACCAAGGAAACTCTGAAGTGAAAAGATCACTGATTTCCTCAACCACTATCCCATTGATCTTTTCATAGGACAGGAGTATGTTGCCCAATGTGTCCATATAAACCACTTCAATCTGGCTTTTAGCAAGCACTTTCTTAAAAAAAAAAATGCATCCATGAAACTAATATGTTCCCATAGATTTAATATAATAGCATCCTAAATAAGTTTACAGTACCTTCATCTCTGCTAGCTATTGTTTCAAAAGTAAAAACTGAAATGAATTTGTGAATAAAGCATTAGCTTTTCACATAAGTTTTAAAGCTCTGCCATTTGAGCTCATCCACAAGTTTTTTTTTTGTTTGTTTGTTTTTTTAAGTGAACAAAGTACAAAAATGTAGTTTTCATGCTCACATAACACAAATGAATGGATAGATTTTCCATAAGAGACAGAGACCAAGCATAAAAGCTTCAGCCCAAAACGAGAACTGGAGAAACTTCTGAGTAACTGAAGTCAGGGTTTTGTAAGGTTATATCAGGACTTCAGTTACAGAGCATGCCACAAAGCAGATGCACGTTCTTTTCCTATTTAATTATAGCAAGAGCTCTGAATAAGTGATCAGCAGGTTTCACAAGCTTCTGTTCTGAAAGGCACTGACCTAACAGCAGCCTTGTTGAGGAAGGAGTATGGGCAGGAGTGCCTGAACTGGTTCAGTAAAAAGTCTGAACAATTTACACATGTAAGTCAAATTAGCCACTTTAATACAAACCATCCCAAAAAAATCCATCAGTCCCCCGTTTCCAATATTCTACCAGTGCTTCCCCAATCCATTAGTTCTCTTCCCTATCGATTCTCTTCCATCCCCAGTCATTCTATTCCCACTCCACCAAGCTGTTAATCCTCTTTTGGGGTTTTTCCTCCCTAAGAACCCAAGTAGGTGAAAGTTGTTGTTTTGAAAAGTCCTGTAATTATGGGATGTTTGAAGACTTAGACATGTTTCTTAGGACAAGTAGATACTCAATTCCACATTCACTAAATAATAAGCTAAACTAGGCTGTTTTTTTAAAGTGGTATCCACTTGGCATTAGCAACATCAGTTGTGTGGTTGACTGTTTCACAAATTGACTTTTGAGAGCTGAGGAAAGTGGACATGGCTCTAGCTGTTCTCAGCAGTTTGAAGCATCCTCAGAAATTGGAGTCTTAAACCGGGGAAAGGACCTCTGACCTTCAGCTAAAGGAATCCTGGGAAACAGTGCAACAGTTGCTTGCAATTGGCTACTAAACAGGGAGGGTGGATTATTGGTTGTTGTTTTAAGAGGGGTAAATGAGCTGCCTGTTTCAAGTGTACCACATGCAATAAATCAGGATAGTTTTAGCTTATTTTATTCTGAGGTAGGTGGAGAATTTGGGGGTAAAGGCCTCTCCTTGGCAAGAGGGCTGGGTCAACAGCCAAAAGGAAGAGCTCAGGCCCTGCTAGAGAGAGAAGGAATTTAGTGGAAGCCTAGTTCTGGTAGGGAACTTCAAGCCCATGAGAAATCAACAGAACCGGAACTCCTCAGAATGTGGTTTATAAATTATTAGTCTTTCCACTTAAATTAAATAAATAAAAAATCTTCTACACCTTCCTTACTAAGATGCCTCTTACCTGGATGAGTTTTAGCAGTCTACACCATTAATGAGCATTCAGCGATATACAACCTGAATATATTTTGCTGGCATGCCCTTCTTATGCCAACATTGTGTGTGTACAATTTTTCTCCAAGGGAAAAGGAGGTTTTTCCCCCCAAACAGTACTAATCTTGATGCTGTGGGAAAAAATAATTTACAAGAGCGCACTCAAGTTGTAAATATTTGTTTACTTACATACCCATGTTGTATGAATGACAGGTGCTATTTTTGCTTAAATTTATCCATAGGATTAATATCCATATGGAGTATGTTATGGAAAAAGTGCAGACATTTACATTAAAGTACACAACAGAATTAAAATCTACTTGCACAAAAAACAAAAGCACATTTCTTTCTACCATAAGAATATTGCACATTCTGATAAGGTTTCACAAATTACTGGCTTTTTATAAAGACAGAATATGAGGTATTAGTCAATTTATAAATAAAGTAGACAGAGGGTGAAAGAGAAAGCACTTAATATAACACAAAAATTCTTTCTAGACTTCTAGGTGAGTGAAATTTAACAAAAGACAATATTGACAGTCGTGGGAAGCTTAGCACGATGAGTGAGGATGTAACTGAAGAATATTAAATGAGAGCTGAAGGGCAAAGTTTCTTCCTTATAATAAAATTAGTCTAGAGCTTTTTAAACAGATGAAACCTATTTAGGACACTGCAACTTACAGGAGCCTGCACTCAATTTGTTTGCTCAATCAACGTAAAAGGTAAGTTTTCACATAAATTAAGTGAAATGTATTTCTAAAAATTAGTTTAAGTTACAACTAGCAATTCTCAATTGTGCGTGGCGGCCATCTTACTGAAAAGATGCAGTTTGATACAGTGACTACAGGGAAGTCCAGCCAGTCCTATATTAATACTCAAAGAAAATCTTCAAGAACTGACGTAGAGATCTATTAGGGTGACATTTGAATACTGAGAGTTTTCCTTCCAGTTTATATTGGCTTATGGACTTCATTGATGGCTGTATAGCAAATGACAACTTTAGTATGATGCCACCACTACAGCAGACTCAATTGCCAAATGTAACTAAACAAATGCCACAAAAAGTTTAACTTTCAATTTTGCTGTTTATTCACTTTGAGAAGAGTTTACCTCTCAAGTTGTGAAGCTGGGCCAATACTTCTTTTAAATGAAGAAATCTGCGATGTGGAGTTTGCAGCTCTATTTACTACAAAAAATGTACTTGTTTGACCTACAAGTCACATCAGGCACAGGGATCTAATTTTACTTAGTTTAAGTTCACTATAGCATCATGGGGAGAATTTAAAAAGTAAAAATTTCACTACCCCATTTTCCAGGGGGAAATAACTAAACAGTTGTACTGCAATAATACAGGTTCTCATATTTAGTTTTTAGATAGATAATGTCCAGGATCCTACAAAGACTTGCATGTACATAACTTTACACACAAAAGTAGTCCCACTGGAGTCAGACAACTCACATATGTACAGTTATGCTCATGCTAAAGTCTTTACAGGCTTGTGACCAATGAAAGGACATTTTGAAATACAAACAAACTTCTAAACTCCAGGCAATGGTTCCTTACACTGTTCATTACACGGTTTTAAAGATGTTCTACATTCACATTTCTAGTACTGATCATGCAAGTTAAAATGCAGATGAGCTAAATTTCCACTACTGTATTGTGTGTGAATTATACATAGTTCCCACAACGTCATCTACAGCAACTGAATACTGCAAGTCTAGTCTATAAAGGATAATTAAAAAAGAGGAAGTTTTAAGTGTAACACTTCACAATAAGTTAGTTTAACTCATGTGGCTATACATGCATCAGTAAGTCAAACAGCCTACCAGGGGTATAGACAAAAGTCACATTAAGGTAAGAGTATATAAAAAAACCTCTTCATATGTTAAAAGATTGAAATATATTTCAATTTAGTAAACATTTATGTTGTTTTATGATATGGGATTTATTTCCCCACACACACACACCCTTTCTAGACAGATAACGAGGCACTCATCTCCCACTTTGCTGCATGTTGTTTCAGTTGCAAGAATTAGTTTAACTGAATTTCTTTACTGCAATTACATTAAATACTTTAATAGTTTATCAGACAATTCAGAGAAAAGTTTCTGTTCCATATTAGCAACTAAACAAGAAAATCATCAAGGTGAGGAAACGGGAAGAGAAATATGGAAGAAAAAGGAAGTGTTATTGTCCAGAACAGTCTGTGTATGTAGTAACCATGTTTCCTCGGCGCTGAGTGACAGTCCTACAATGCTTGCTAGATCCATGGAATCTGCTATCAGTTCGTACTGTGTGCTGGTGTGCATGGTCAAAGCCACTGAAAGAAAACATTTTTTCCATATCTTCAAACACATCATCAAACAGTCCACCTCCAAAGGAGAAATCTTGGAAAGAACGTCTTTGCCTGGTGTGAGCCTCCCGATGACCCCGGAAGTGATTTTCAAAATGCTTCTTCGACCGTGAGTTTTGGTTTTGACCAAAAAGGTCAAAATCTTTGAACAAGTCATCAAAGTTGAAATTAAATGACTGTTGGAATGGACTTCCATTATTTCCTTGTCCTCCACCATGGCCAAATTGGTCATATTCTTTTCGTTTATTCTCATCCGATAACGTTTCATATGCTGTAGAAGTATTGAAATTAGAAATTAGTCAGATTTAAATCTTCCTGTCAAAATCACATTCGCTTTTTTCTCAAGCAGCAAGCACATCAGTGATAACAAGCACAGGTGAAAGTGATAACTTCATTACAGGTATAATGAAAGTAAGCCACAACTTCGCTGAACATTCATGTCATCCTAAATTAACCACATAAGTGTTCTCATGCAGTAAGTCAAGACAAAACGTATCCTGTAATTTTAACCACCAGGCACTAAAGAACAGCAGTTAAATATTTTCTTTCAAATGGCAATGAAATATGGGGGAATGTAAAAAGACTTGGCAAGCCAAGCTCTTTCCCCTTCTTTTAAATTGTTCAACACCTTCCTATCATAGGAACTCTGTCATCCTGTGATGGGTTTCAAATACACTTTCCATTTGATAATTATCAAAGCAGTGGGAACAAGCTATGTTGCAGAGGTACTGCAGCACACGTCTCTAAACCAAACTGTGCTTAATGCAGAACAGTAGGGAAACAAGGTTGGTTTACAAACAAACTAGTGGTGCTTCGCATGAACAAGTTGATGATACACGCAATACCCAAATCTAGGTTTATTTAGAATAGGAAATGAAGTTCCGACCTGATCTTTGGCCCAGGACCATAGCTTGTAAAAACGAATGGGTCTGTCAGTATTTCTACTTCACAAGAGAACACTGGACTTGAACATATGTGCCTTGCCCAGTTAGGACATTTTCAACCATATTTCTGTTCCTCTATTTGTTAATTTTTTTAAAAGGGCTTTCAATACTCTACACAAAGAAAGTTCTAACTCTGCTGTTAGAAAGAAGTGTGACTTGGGCCATTACAATGCATTGTTTTGTCATGACAACGTTCACTAATATACACAAACAAAGAGAAAGAATCAATAACAGCACCTACAGAACATGAAAAGAGGAACTACTGATATCAATTTCACAGACACCGCTGAGAAAAGTGGAGTTGCAATTACATTTTATGGTATTATATATTCATACTGAAAAGGTTACATTTATGACACTGATACTTAAAACACCCTTTCCAGTTATTATTTTGCTCCTTGCCACTCATTTCAATTTTAATAGAATTAGCCACTAGTAAATGCGTGATGAAAGATCCATTTGAAGGCTAAATGTTAAAGTATTTGTTTCTATCTGAAGTTGTTATAGACAGCAGTCATTGAAATCATGTTAAAATTCAACTGAGGGGAAAAAAAAATCAAAATAGTAATCAGACATATTTTAAGACTAGACACTTCTAGCTACCAACCGCAGAAATGAACATTTCTAGTTCTGGTAGACAAAGATACTGTCATAGGTGCCTTTGACCAGGAACACTTTTGTGGCTCTCTTTTAGAACTGACTATGACACACAACCTGCTATATCTAAACTGGTATAATTTTTAACCCAATAGAAAAGTTAACAGAGTATAGACAGACATTTTCAAGCCCACAGACTTACACAATTCATAGCCCTCATTAATACTACTACATAATTTATATTACCTTCTGCAATTTCTCTGAATTTTGCTTCTGCACCAGGACTCTTGTTTTTGTCTGGGTGGTACTTCATGGCCAGTTTGTGAAATGCCTTCTTGATCTGGCGGTCAGATGCATTTTTTGGAACTCCTAAAATGTCATAGTAGCTTTCTCGAGCCAATATTAATTCAGTTATCATTAAAATGCAGAGAGCACATGTGAAGACAGACTGTGTGGTAGCCATTTCTGAAGCGCCTAGAAAAGACAGAAAAATACTTGAATATGAATGGTCACAATTTTTTGCTCTGAAGTTAGGCAGTAACTTAAGACAATTCAATTGCATCTATGCTAATTAAAACACGTAAGTCTATAATGTTTAAAAGTAGGAACCATGCAACAATTAGAGATGGAACCATGTTTAATTTCACTTTTGCTGGAGAATCTCCCTTCTGCAGAATTTTCAGTACACAGTATGATGGGTTTGGGGATTTGAATTATCTCCACACCTCGCTGTCACCTGCAACAGAAATGCCCATAGTTTCTTCTTTTGTTCACATTTACACTTGCCTCATCTACCTCCCATAGTCCTGGTCCCAACATTTGGGCTTCACTAACTAGCCATTTTCATTACAAGGCCCAGTATTTGGTTTCTGTATTTTGTCCATCAGTTACATATACTATTTTTAGGAATACTTGTCTGTCACCAGGTAGCGAGCAGCAGCATTCGGAAGAAAGTGAAAAGAGCTATGCCGTGCTAGAGCTACCCAAAGAGGTTGAGAAGGAACTGGCAAGAACCATTGCCTCTATTGAGCAGAAGCCTAAGCAAGTTGTTCTCTTCATATACACTGGGCTGCTACAGGGCCTTGTGCTGACCTCCAAGAAAGAGAAAAGAGTCTGAATTCCAACCCCCACTATCCTAATTTCAAAGGGCAAGTTGAATGGCCTAAGAGGTTACTGTGGTGGAGAAAGAGATCACTAGCCACAGAGTCCCATTACAAAGTGCAGGTTTCTCCTTTCTAGGTGAACAAAAACATGGGATGGACTTGGTATTAATTACATTTTAACTGCAGTTTTGATAACGAAAAGGTCAACAATAGTCTTGATACAGAGGGCTTATAATCAGTATCATTGGGAGTTAGATGTGTAAGCCTCCCATATACCAATAGTGAACTGAGCGCTTGAAATTCACTCTGGGTTGAAGCATTCCATAAGACCCAAGACAGCTTTAGAACATAAGATCAAAGTGCACTGGGGAACTTTCAGCATGTGGTATTTGTGAAGATTAAAATAGTTGATTTATCAGGTAGTCGAGAATTGTACAATCTATCAGAGATACTGATAAAAAGTTTGGAGTTAAAAAAACAAGCTAGTGCCAGGTTAAGGAAATGTTGACCAGTAAATCTGTACACAACACACATCATCAGTCATTTAAAAAGAAAAGCTTCATGTTAAACAGACAGTACCAATTACAAAACAGGCACATGCTATATTCAGTTAGTCAGCATACTAGGAATCCTTTTGAGAAGAAGCCTAACTATATAGTACTTGGAAGCTTCTCCTTATTCCAAGGGACATTCAAGATATGTAGCGGGGACGTAGACTGCCCAAAGATAGAGTTGGACTTCATCCAGCCAGCAGAATGCCAGGGGACTGCACTAAGCATACTCGGAAAATAATATCTCAGTGCAGGATTAGGTGAGGGAGTGGACACACTAGTTGCCCTGGGAATCACTGACTGTAACTCAGATAGAGAAAATGTTGAATCTGAGCATGGGTCCAATACATTTCTTGCCTTGATGACAGCTCCATTCTACTTCCCCTGAATAAGTCAGAATTCTGTCTGTATGGCTTTGATGGCTGTCATCGTTTTTGGATCATATGGGCCCTAAAACATTTGCTATACACAAATTCTGTTTTGTGGATTTCCTTGATTACAAAAGATTTTAAGAAGTGCATATATCCATAAAAAGAAATTCATGGCTAAAGATCAAACCCAATATTTAGCTGTAATAAGACAAGACTTTACACATAGCTTTATTTGTAGGCCCATTAGTACTTAAATAAATAGAGGGCTTCCTTTTGGTTTTGAACTTAAAATCAGGCCTAAACAGCCTATTAAAATAGTTTATCTTTTCAGTGACTACTAATACTGAAAATATATTCAATACTATTTGTATGCTCTGACATCCTACCACCCAATCCTTTGGAGACTAGATATATATATCTAATGCCCTCCTAAACATTTGCTTGGCTGGTAGCATGCCAAGTGTCTGTGTTCTAAGGGCTAGTCTCAAAACGGGACTGTATTTTGATCAGTGTATTTAGATACCAAGTGTACAATTCATTCTGGCATCTCTCTTGCTCAATACTAATTATATTAGTACAAGTACAGGAAGCTTTCTAGTCCCTCTTCTTTTTTACATCTATTCTCTTCCCTTGTTCATTAATCTCAAACTTTACCACTTTGACACTGAATACCATTAATCTGTACATGTTCTTCCACACTTTTAGTGTTTCCTGCCTGTTCACCCTTCACAGGTATGGACCTGTGGCTTTTCATCTCAATCCCATAAAGTCAGAAATGCTTTCCTTGAGCACGACAAGCACCCACCTCAGTTAACCTCAATTTGTCACTACAGTCCATAACCTTGACTTCATCTTGAACCCCAAACTCCATATCCTGTCTATACATATCTTCCTATTACCACTGCCACTACATTGCTCAGATAAACCCTTTTATTCCACTTATGCTGAAACATTTGCCCAATCATCTCTTAACACCTTGATCACTAAAATGCCTTCTTCCACAGACTTCCAAAAATCAGCTTTCCCTAAGCCAGCAAGTGTCCAACACTGCTGCACTTCTCACATAAGTAGCCAGAAACAGAAGTGCATCTGGCTCATCTCTAAACACCTCCATGGGCTTCCTCTTCATTCTAGTATCCTTTTCAAAACTGCCCTCCTTATTTACAAGATTGCCCCAGCCTCTCAGAGATAGACTCTATGCATCCCTGCTCATTCTAGCATCTGACTCCTCTATCCACTCCCACAACTGAAGGGCAGTTAGGCCAGAAATCACTCCTGCAGCTCCCAAAAACTGCTACAAACTACCTGTCTCTCTCTCTACTCCTGCCTTCAAATCTTTATGCTCTACCTAAGCTTCTCAACTTCTATTACTTGTATACTGGCATTATTACCAAATACACTCATTTCAATTATTTTAAACTACTCTTTCCTGCAAAACAGTTTTATACTGCATACGGTCTATTGTCTTGTATAGAATTTATATTTTTCATATACAAATTAAAATGCTTTACAATACTGAAGTTGTACCATATTTTAAAAGAAACCCCAGTTCAGAATAAACTGGCTGTTCTTCAGAATGTTTTAGACAAAGTTCCTGAAAACACTATTTCTAACAATACAAACCTTATGCAACGATCAGCTTGTTTCAACATCCCTATGCTATTCAGACTTTATTTACACAAAAGCAATGTTGAAAATAGCTAATGTTTAAAAGTATTTTAATTGACAAAAGGCTATCACAAAAGACTAGCAAGTCCTGTATATTAGGTTAGCTCTATCTATTAATATCTGACAGTATATTTTCTTTACTACAATATGAATTTATTAACATGGCATTATGTAAAACAGATGCATCTTTTTCTTGGCAGCACCAAAATATTTATTTAAATCCAATTTATTAAGCTATCATCTGTTAGTATCAGTACCTTTACTATAACAACCATTTAAAAATAAACAAAGAACATGTCACCATTTATTCTGCGTACCTTTCTTTTCTTTCAGTTTGGAAACTGAAAGAAGACAGATAAGTTTCACTTTCCCTCCCGCATGTACTAGTTATGAAAACGTTGCCATATCTGGCTGAAAACTTTACATGGGAGTGTTCAGAGCTTTAAAAAAGAACAGGAGTACTTGCTGTTCTTTTTGCGGATACAGACTAACACGGCTGCTACTCTGAAACCTGTCAACAGAGCTTTAAACTGTTTTAGGTATGTCTTTTTTTTTTTTTTTTAAGTGTGTTACCTTTAACATTTTTTTCTTAATTAAAAAATCCTTATTAGGTTTTAGCTATCAGACACAATCCCTTAAAAACAGTTTTGTGATTCTGAATGAGAATCAGTGGGAGAACCTGATCTCAGTATTTTAGTTCGGCCCATTTGTCAATGAACCACTAGAGAATTTAAGGTCACAAAATAAGAAGTATTTAAACCTTTATTGGATAATTAGCTGAATGGTAAGGATTTCAGCAGTATCATTATTCTGGTTATAAATTTTAAATGCAACATTTTATTTTCTTTAGAATTAATATTACAGGCCAGCAAGGGAATATTCAGTGCCAATTTTCAATCCATAATTAAATGTTTGGCCAATGAACAAGCTACTTGTCCCTTAGTGGCAAATACATAATCCTGAAAGCCTGTTTCTATCATCTTACTGTGAGCATGTATATGCATTTCAAGATAACTGAATATGACAGTAGTAGGAGCTTTGTAACAAATAGAATCATAGACACATAAGGCTAGAAGAAACCCTGAGAAGTCATCAACTCCAACTCCCTGCGCTGAGGCAGGACCAAGGAAACGCAGACCATCCCTGACTGGTTTTTAATCAAGCCTGTTCTTAAAAACCTCCAATGATGGGGATTCCACAACCTCCTTTGGAAACCTAGTCCAGATCTTATCTTCCTTTATAGTGAGAAAGATTTTTCCAATATCTAGCCTAAATCTCCTTTGCTGCAGATTGAGCCTGTTACTTCTTGCCCTACCTTCAGGGGACATGGAGAACAAATAGTTACCATCTCTTATGTTTGTAAAGCACTATTTACATATACAGAAGTCCATGAATAACAGTACTAATTACATACAATTTTTAATGCACTGACCAAGTGGAACAGCTTGACCTTTTGAGACAGCTCTTACAAACACCACCTAACTATTAATACAAGGCTAGAGAAGTTTTAAGAACAAAGCTCAATTACAAGGGCATAAAAGGTCTTTTATATAACTCTATCAAGACACTAAGACCTATGTTGTAGAATGTGAAAATGTAAGCAGTGCTGGAGAATGAGATCTTTCCTTCTCTTTACCTGCCACTCTTTTGAAAACTGAAACAAAAAGGGAAGGAATCTAGCAGGTTTAACCCAACACAAAGCCATCCTATTTTATGACTTAAATTAAATGTAACTGCAATTTAGTGGACATAGAGCTAGTACAAAGTCCTTACAAGTGGAAAAGGCTCTCACTCAACTGTGGTTACCACAGCAAGTTTAAATATAGTAGTCTTGTATCATCATTTGTCTCTCCCATGCCTCAGTTCACTTTGCTATGGAGTAAGCTAGAATCCTCAGCCATGCTACTAGGAGGAACTTATAAAGACCACTGCAGTTTGTATGTGGTCAATTAACTGCTGACCCCCGAACCAATAACTTTCAGGAAAATAAAATTATGGGGTTTACTATTATTCTGGAGAATTCATCATGGAGACAAGTGACTGAAGTCTGGGAGGGGAGGATATTGCCTATTCCCCCAGCGCACCTTTCTCACAGCAAAATTAAACCACATTATACTGATTGGACACGAGCGTAAAAAAAAAAAAAAAAAGTTGTAAGTGTCCAAATGCCAAGGCAGCAGTGCAGCACCGCACAAATACAGACGCCCCCACACAGAGAAGAGCTCAGCACTTCACACACCCTCCTTTCGGGGGAGAGAATAAAAAACAAGACCCGAGAACCTGAGATACATCAGAGTGACCTGAAACAAAAACATCCCACGCCAAAGAGCAGAGAAATCCCGACACCCCCACTCCTAGCCCCCCTCCCCCAATAGACCCCCCCACTCCCAGCCCCCCCCCCCCACCGACCCCCCCCACCCCTCTCCCCCAATAGACCCCCCACTCCTAGCCCCCCTCCCCCAATAGGCCCCCACCCCCATCACTGCACCCCTACACCAGGCCCTCCCCCCAACGCAAAAGCCGGGGCCTTGTCGCCGCCTCACTATTACGCTCACCTGCTGCTCCGCGCGCTCTTCTCCCCCTGATCTGGGCGGACGAACACGGCGGCCGTAACTCTAGAGCGAATCCTACACGAAACGCTACGCTATTGGCTACCCTATCTCACGTGACACCCCCGCTTTAGTGCACGTGGAAGGCTGTTGTTAACCCTGAAGAGTCACGTCACTTCCGCTTGATGAGCCGGGTCAGAGGCCTGGGGAAGCGGAAGTGGGGCTGCGGTCGGGGCGAGCGCCCAGTGGCTGCCGGTGTCCCGGCGATCCCCGCGCCCCGCTGCCTGTGTGTATGGTTCCTTCCCCGGGCTGGGTCCTCCAGCGCCCGCAATGCCCCGATACTGCGCCGCGTCCTGCTGCAAGAACCGGGGAGGCCAGAGCGCCAGGGACCAGCGCAAGCTGAGCTTCTACCCGTGAGAGCCAGCCGGCCGGCCGGCCGGCCGGGGCGGTGGGCTGGGGTGGCCGGGCGGGCCCCGCGGCGGGAGGGGACGCATCGCCGGAGCCCAGGGCTCTCTCCCATCCTGAGGCAGCAGCGCCAGGGCGCGATCGCACCCCGTCGGGTTAGGCCCGTCGCCCTGGGAGCGGGGCCTCTCCCTTGCCTGCCTAGCCGGGCGCCCTCGGACCCAGGCCGCACCACACTTTCGCTGGGGGTCTAAAGGCTTTAGTAAAGCGGGGGCGCAGGACGTGCTGTCCATGGGCTCTAGGCCCTGTGCTTCAACCCCCCTATACCCCTGCTGGGGGGGGAGGGACCTGCCGGGCCGGGGGAGCTGCACTACGCCCTTCCCCGATCCAGTTCCCAGCTCCCCTTCCTCAACCCCGCTCTGCTCATTGCCCAGGCCAGCTTGGGGCTTGCTGCGCCTTTGGACAGGGGTTCTGCCTGGTCAGTGTTTAGCTAGGAACGGAAATAAACATTAAACGAAAACTAAAGCGTTATTAAAAGCGGCTGGGAAGTAGAAGGGGGTTCGGGGAGTGGGTCTGTGTCAGAGTAAGCCCAAGGAGGCTGGGGATCTGGTTGCCCATTGGGATTAAGGCATGATGTGGGCTCTGCAAAAAAGGCTCTAGGCTAG